ATATCTCATGTATGTAGTTGAATACATGAAAATGTGATGATGTACATGATGTATGTTATGTAACAAAGTTAGGATTTGGTGGGAAAGATCAGCTTGTCGCCCTCTAGGGGGAGATAGCCTCGTGCCGATTAGCATGTACATGTTCAATTGTGACGTCATTAAAATGTGGCACCGGTAATTGTGACGTCATCAAATGTGAATGACAATATTTATACTCTAAGGGCTCTTTCGTTTAAGCGGTTGAAACGGTCAAACCGGCCAGACCGTTAAACGAACTGCGCGGAACGTTCTCGTTCCGGTTCGTTTTCGGTGGTTCGTCTGGCGCGCTCTAGCTGAGGGGGCCAGACGCTTCCAAGATGGCGGCCCGCAGTGAATTGCCAGAAGTTGCAGAGTGAAGTTTATGAGATATTGCCGTTATGCTAGGTTTTATCACATGCTGACATCGTTATAAAGATAAATATCGCTTTAAAATACATCTGAATTATACAAGTTCCTTAATAAATGTGAGATTGTTACAATATAATATATCGATTGTAAATACGGGGCGGATCATTTTTTCGACCTTGTTGACATGCATGCCTGATGTTTCAATTAATCTGAATTTAGGTCACACTGTATTTCCTATATGATCTATAAGTATTTCCCTCTTTTACACTAGATACTCTGCTTAGTCCTGTATATCAGAACATTTGTGTTTGCTTTGAGTCATTGCAAATCTGACGAACGGCGACGCCAGTACATTATACAAAACTGAAATGTGATTCCACCTGCAGCCAATCATTATCTTATTGTTACGCCAATATAGTATAAAAATTGAAGAAACAATTTTGCATCTTCATGATTTCATCATTTGTGCATCTTCTTTTTACACAAGTGAAGTATGCCATTTGATTAAATACATTGACCGATGCAATTTTTACAACATTAGATTTATACACGTCATTGATTAATTGGTCGTCTGCACTCTTTGCGATTAACCATGGCTGTGCGATTTATGTAATTAAGGCTTCAAATAAATGAGGATACTTTACAGTCATATAAGCAAAGTAGCTATATTATTTTAATACGTGGCAACATTCGCGTATCCCGGTTGAAACGGTACTTGTGGCACAGAAATTTTATACGATAAACGAACGTACTTTGACCGTTCTACAAGCAGAGCTAAAAATGCACAGTTTCGGAGAATAAAAATCAATGTATCAAGAATAATATGCCCTTCTCTCACGCGTCCACTAATTTACATCGTGTATCTTAAAAATTACATGTGACTTGACATTGTTTAAGAAAAATATAATGCAAATTAGCAATAGTTAGCATTTTAGTTTCGGTCAGGTACGTCTGGACCCCTCAATCTACACATACCAAATTTTCCTGAGGTCAGTCTCTGTCCAAATCTGTACCTGTCGTTTTCTTTACAGGTTCAACCGTTTCAACCGGGTACACGAATATAGCCTAGATAAAAGTATTCTGAATGTAAACAACTGAAGCTTTTGTATTTCTTGTTTTGAAACTGCACAGAATATTGTCTCCATATACTGTTTTGATCTACATTTTCAACCAATTCGTTTGTTTGGACCACCTTTAATAGTGTTTTTTTCTTTGAAGAAAACTGGTACACCTTTCTCAATTTTAAATATTTATTCCAAGGTAATTTGTATATATACTAAATGGAATGTATTAGTGTAACTATTAGCATATTATTCATGTGGTTGATTCATATTAAGGAGGGTGTCATCTAAGGGTCAATGCAATTATATGGTACATTGCCCTTAAATGCAGCGAAATACAATTATTTGTTTTCCAAGTTGAATCATTATGTAAGAGGGNTAAGTAAAGTACATGTATCAGAAAGCAATGTTACTTATTATAAAAACCAGAGTATTTTCATGTTTTATTAATACAAATGCTTACATTGGTTAAATATTTTACTGTTTGTCAAAACTACTATGACTTATCAAGCATTATGCAGATATCGGGAGATGATTGTAACACAGACATATTCACGTATATACTTGTCAGACAGATATGGCTAAGCTGTTTACTTGTCGAGATATTTAATTCAACATTTTGTTTCATACCTTCCAGATGGAGCATTACCAAAACCTGGCATTTTAGACTCTGTCATTGCAGAGAAACACCAGGTAAAAACACATTTTTTTCTCATATATTGCTAATATAATTGGAATGTGACAGCATGTACTCTCTAAATATTTCAGCAGCAGTATATTTTAAAATTATCTTAACTGTGATTAGAAGAAAAAAAATATTGTATTATTGTACAACTGATGCATCCCGATTTTCTGAGGTGGGAGTGGTTGTGGTGTTATATTGTAATTCTTTTATAGTTTAAAAAAAAATGAACAAAATATCTAATATAAACCCTTGTTATATTTTGTTTATATTTTCACCATACTTATTATTGACAGTCATGCATCTATATCTTGTTAAAATTTGGTTGATGTATGCACCTGTCAAAATATATTGGCATAAAAGTTGCTTCAAATTTCTTTAATTAAATTTTGAAGATGGTGGAGCTCATGCCAGGGTCTGGTGTATTTGTCTTCGTCCAAGATATTGAGGAATGCAAGAAGGCAAAGACTGTGATCTGTGGCACTCCTCAGCACGGCTGGCGGATGGCCAAGCTATTCATGAACAAGTTCTGGTCTCGGGAGGAGTTTGTGGGAAGCAGTCTGGCCAATACCCCCGGGAAAAGGGCTCTAGACCAGAGGACTACCAGTGCAATCAAAGGTAGTTAAAAATATTCTGTTTCTTCCATTAGAATCAATTTTTTAAAAAGGAAGCTTTTTACAATATCAAAAGTCAGCAAGTCTTTCAGAAAAGATAATAGCACTTTTTAAAATTTGAGTGAAACTTCAATAATTTCTGCTAACAGTTTTCATGAAATCATGTAAACATAAATTTTGCAAGAGTATACAAGTAAATAGAAGAAAATATGAAAGCAATGCTACCATATGACCACATATAGCTTTGATTATAGCTTGTCATTTTTTGTTCTAGTTCCTTGGAACAAAACAAGGAATAACAAAGTGCCGTAGACAGCATTGCTGAAAAGTTCTGAAGAAAGAGCTCTTTAAATTCATGTCGCTATTTGTATCAATACCAGTTGAATATCTTACAAATCCATGTGTTTCAGGCTTCTGTGTCCAGCCGACCACAGCGACGTATGGACAAATCAGACAGGCGATGGCCTCGAAACTAACAAGTGCTACGGTGAAAGACCGCCTTAAAAGAACTGAAACAACAATGTGAATAATATATGGATTGATGGGACATCTCAAAAAAACCATTCAATGTAATTTTAATTATGCAATGCTGGTGATAAATGATGTGTATTGCGGTTATGTATGTTGGTATTCTTTTGTGGGCATATGGCATGAATGAGCATGTTAATATATGGAACAGATATAATTATGTCAGTGTGTATAAATAAATTATTTTTTCATTTTAAAACATGACTGTCTTGATTTTTTTCCTTCTGTTGAATGCTTTTAGCAGCATGATGGTGTATGCTGCTGGGATGCTGCTATGGTTGCAGCATAGAGGCAGCATTGTCATATATGATGGCTGGCTTAGATTGCAGCATACTGGCAGCATGGTCACTATAGGCCCATTGGCTATGATGCAGGCTTAGCTTGCAGCATCCTGGCAGCATGGTCACTATATGACCATAGGCCATGCTGCTGGCATGCTGGCTTAGCTTGCAGCATACTGGCAGCATGGTCACTAAAGGGTCTTTGGCCATGCTGCTGGCATGCTGGCTTAGCTTGCAGCATACTGGTAGCATGTTAACAAAAGGGCCATTGGCCAGGCTGCTGGCATGCTGGCTTAGCCTGCAGCATACTGGCAGCATAATTTAAATATTTGAAACATGCTGCCAGTATGCTGCTCCCCTTATAATTACTAGGGCAATATTTTGCAGCATAATAGCAGCATGTGCTGCAGGAATGCTGCATTTTCATGCTGCTCAGATGCTGCCTAGATGCTGCAAATCCGTAAGGGATTGGTTGTAAATTTCAATTGTTTCATTTGTGACGTCACACCTAGGACAAGTACATGACGTCACAGACTTCCGCACTGGAGTCAAAATGGCGGCTTTTTACATTTCAATGTCGCATGAAAATTGTCGTTTTATACAAATAAATGTCACAAATCTTGATTATGTGATAAAAAGGATCTTACACTTGTTTTCATTTCATATTCAATTTATGAAACTCGTCACAAATTTTTCTTTTTAGCTCGCCTAAATTGAAAAATTCCAAATCTCATATGAAATGAAAACTCATGTAAGATCCTCCTATGTATCTATACAAATAAATGTTGACACATGTAAACATTTTTCTCAAAATGTTCCAGTTGAAGGTAAATCACTTATGTCCATGGTTTGGTTTCCTGCCTATTACATCTCTGTATAAATTGAGTAATACCGGTATGTGTGGTACCCACAAACAAACCTTGAGTCCTGGGTTAGTATAGATATGTTTTACTGGAATACTGTGTCTGACTGTCATTGTAGAAAGTGTCTACAGATCCTGGTCCATGGTAACACCAGGGAGGATATCACACTAGTCACACCCAACCTGACTGTCCACTCACCAGACATGGAGCTCTGCTGTCACTCAACAAGGCCAATCAGGAACTGGTAACACCTTGTCCATCCTCATTTATCTTTGTCGTGCATTGGCTAAATGAATTTCAAAATAAGATGTAACACCATGTCTGGCACATAAAAGATGACAAAGCCAGATCAAACTGGTTGCAATATTCCAAAACATACCAGCTGAAAACTCCAGAGTACAAATGATA